AAATGTAAAAAAATGATGATGATTATCAGAGCTTTCTTCTAGTCTTCTCGTAACTTTGTCAAAGTCAATTTGTTTCAATATACATGTATATGAAAATAAAGCCACACACACACACACACACACACACACACACACACACACACAATTTAAGCGATAAAAAGCACAGGTATTGTACTGTTTTTTACTTAGATAAATGTATTTAGGGTTCGATGCTGATGCTATTGTTCAAGCTGCATGTGCTGCAAGTGCAACCAATGGTCATTTTGTATCTGCCATTCGGAAACCATGCGGCACGGGACCATCATGTAACACCCTTTGCCAAAATGCTATCAGCAGTATGAGAGCTATCTATGGAAATCAAGGATCAACCACGTAGGTTTTATTCTATAATGCTTTTTCGTGGAAGACGTTTAATCTTGATAACTCACACTAATGTGACTTAATGAATATTTTTAAGTCGCCTTCAGTGGGAGGAGATATATGAATTGGTTTAGGCAAGATTTTCTGTCTATTTTTCACAAAAGTATGTCAAATTTTTGTATGCCGTTGGATATGAGGTAAACATATCATGATTTTGAATAAATGTAACAATCCATTTATCAAAATCAAATATCAATACATTCAATCTGATATTAAAATGATGCACGTATATATTTTTGTAACCCTACGTTCTAATGAATTGAAACTTGAGTGTAATTCTGGAGAACCAATCAGTAGCATCTCGACTGGGTAATGAAAATAATAATCTTGTTCAGTCAGTAGATGTTAAACAAAATATACAACCTTTTCTTTTAAATGTGTCATAAACGTTCATCGAATACTGTAAACCAACTTTTATTCGACTACGAGAATTATCCTTATTTCAAGACCTTCATATACTCGAGAACATTTTTTGCCGGGAAAAATTCATTTTATTGTGCATTTAGGTAGAAGGTTTCCTCAAGCACATCGTATATATTATCATATTTGAGTTTTTGATGATCACAAAGATATTTCTGAACGTTTGCATATTTGGATTTCTTCAATGCTACCTGTTCGGACATGCAATTGCAATAGAATATATGTATTTTAGTTTTTAATTTTTTTTTTAAACAGGGGAAGCTGTTTTCAAGCATTTCATTTTTACTACAAGTACTCTCCTTTAACTCCGGAACAAACAGGATCAGCTCAGTTGGCGATGTACAGATATGGAAATGGCTGCGATACGACAACATGTGGTCCGAACTTCTGTTGCTGTCAGGCGTAAATGGCTTTGTGGACAATATTATTATGTTTTATTTTACTTCCACATGTTTTAGTTGCTGAATAAAACAATCAAATATCTTTACGTGTTTCTTATTCACTCTCATTGCGATTTATCAATTTCACGAAAAAGTGTTACTTAAACAATCTAAAAGTGAAATGGTCTGTAAGTTTTTAATTTTGATACAGAAAAAATATTTATGCTACTTAAGCAGATGTATTTTAAAAGCAAAATTGAAGGCGATTTTGAAACAGATAATTGCAAAGTTTTAAACCAAAATATCTTGGGGAAAAATGGTTAAAGTAGTAGACAAAAGAAAGGCCAAATGTTTCCTCAAATTCATTTTTTTGTTTGAAACTTTGAAATTTTGTTCTAGGATACAAAATCTCTATTAAAAAGTGATATGGAAGAAATTCAACTGCAAATTTTTAGTTTGAAATATTGCCTATCAGACCCCTCTAAGAAAATTGTGACATAAGACGTTCGTTTTGAGAACGTGCCCTATTTAAAAATTACAATTTAATCTATTGCAAACTTCAGTGATGGGTTTTTAAAGGTAACCTTTTTGTAACTAAAATTCACAATATATAGACTGGTATATTTGAGTACAATGTGATGTAAAATTGTAAATTCGTATGTAAATATGCTACACTGTATGGTCTTTTTTAAAATTATGATTCAATTTTTACAAAAAAAATCAACAGAATGATAAAAATGGAACCAAGATTATGTAAAAATGAGAGAAATTGAACCAGCGGTTTCAGATAATTTGGCGATTTCAATTCCAGTGATTTTTTGTGCTCCAAGCAAAATACACATGGAATATCAAACTTTTTTTTGGTTCAAAAGCTTTACAAAAAACAGTGATGCAAGCGTCAATTTTCAGACAAGTATAACCATCACGGTATATCTCAGTCGGTAGATCGCTCGCTCCGTGATCGGAAGGTCGTGTGTTCGAATCAAGGCCACGACTGACCGAAGTCGATAAAAAGTAGATAGCAACTGTTCCTACGCCAAGCGCTCGGCACATTGGAGTGAAAGTTGCGGGTCTTTAGGATTAGACCTTTAAAAGCGAGGCCCCGTGTCGTGGTAGGCATTGGCACGATAAAGAACCCTCACTACTCAATGTCCCTGAGTGCCGATTAAAGGTCTAAATTTGAAGCCCTTGACCGGTATATGGAGACGTCTCTATATGAGTGAAAAATTCTCGAACTGGACGTAAAACAACAAAGAATCAATAAATCAAAGAAGTATACAATGTAACAAATGTGCTTAGAAAATGAACTCTTCAATTACGTGTTTAGATCTGAACATGTAAATCTAATACGGTACCAGTTTTTGATGCGCCAGATGCGCATTTCAACAAATTATTTCTCTTCATTGATGCTCATGCCGAGAAAATCCGAAATATTTAAATTAAAAAAAAAGAACAACTTTAAAGAGCTCAAAAATGGGTGCCAAAGAATGGAGCCAAATATGTCGAAGGATCAGAGAGTAATCTGCCCGGAAATGATATAATTTATAAATTTAAACGTTAATAAGAGCGGTTGTCAAAACAAAGAAAATCACAACAAATCAGCAAAGGATGTTTTCAAGAAATCTGGTGATAACTCGAGTGATAAACACCGAAGAATGTGAAAGGCTTCTTATTACTGCTATGGAGGCTTTGTATGCTTTTGATTTTATAAAATGAGCATGATGAGCAAAACAAACAATTTTGTTATTGTATATGTCTAGGATTTCTTTGGGTGTCATATTATGTAATGAGGAACACATACTGTTACTTAAATGCAACTGCCTCTCTTACAGATTAAGGGGATGGATAGCCGAGAGGGACAGTTCATTTCTATAAAAGATTTAAAATAATGCTACTACAGAAAATAAAATCAAAATTACACAGTGCTCAACTGCTTTGTTTACATCACAATGTAGTGAATCGTACTGCATGACCTTTCAAGAAACACATCATATCTGTATCATGTTGGATTCTTTTAGATATAAGCTCTGTATTGTGCAGCAAAATGCAATTCAAAATCTGGATGTTACTTATTTATAAGATGTCAGAGATATGGTTTGTCAAAAGTTCTGAAGACTTTGAAAAATCAAAGGCAAAGTAGTTCGGTAAAACAATTATTCTGTGAGAACATATAATGGAATACTGTACTGGTGTTACATTGTAGCTATTCTTCTGATCGAATTTTATCCGCTGTCCGTCGTCATCGACGTTGTTGTCGTATTGATTAAATTTTTCCACTTTTTTATCATCTTCTCCAGAACCACTGGTCAATTTAATCAGACTTGGTAAATGCACAAGGTGTTCTTGTGGGAGGATAACTCGAAAGAACGACAAGCTCTCTACCAAGAAAAGATAATCAAAAAAAGGCAATAAAGGGTGAGATAATCTAAAATCTTCTCAAGGTCCACTTTACCAGAAAAGATGGAATTTAAGTTAAAGCTTCCTGAATATTGTTAACAAACTAAATTTTAAATGGTATAGAAATATTAAAATGAGTGGCATTAGACATTTTTGTAATTATCATAAGAGTATCTGTCGATTATTGACCTAACGTCACTTAAAATTTGCTCTTCTATATATCATATATACGTATGAAATGCATGGAGATAACGAACGGTATTCAAGCTCAAAAGTCCATTAAACAATACTAATTTTGGCGCAGAGCAAACATGGACCTCAAAAACATCAGAGGTGGGATCAGGTGCCATGAAGGAGTAAGTATCCGCTGCCGACCGGTCACACCCGCCATGTGCTAGTTGTCATGATCGGGAAATAACGGGAATCAGTGTTTTAATAATGGCCTAACAATCATCAAAACTGGTACCGTATTTGATTAACATTATGACCCGTGGGTCGATGCCTCTGCTGGTGGACTGTTAGTTCCCGATGGTCTCTCCAGCCCGGTAACCTAGTACTTCGGTACTAGCTTGAAAATACGGATATATATTTAAATCCTGGGGTAAAATTTAGAAATTTATTTCAAAATTAGGGAGTATCTCCCTCATGCATAGCTCTAATCCTTCGACGTATTTTGCTCCAGTTTTTGGCATCTTTTTTCAGCTCTTCAAAGTCTTTTTATTTAAATATTTTGAATTTTCAACGTTTCAGCTTGAGCATCAGGAAACTTTAAACGAGATGCTGATATTCTTGTTTCATAAACTCGTTTTAGAAATTGTTCCTACGTAAAGCATGCTCTTGAATCTTGAATCTCGAATCAGCTGAGAGATATAAAAAGAGAGGTATGCATGTTATGAAGGTATATTGCTGAATAAGTATGGGAAGTTGATGATTGTAAAGTTAAATTCTTCACGTTTATCATAAAGCTTGGTTGTAAGATTATCATAAACGCCCTTTTCTAGTAAAATATTCAAATATGAAACAGATGTGTCATACTCTGTGGTATCTTTTATTTCAAGCTCACCGGGATATATCGTATCGACATAAGAATAGAAATAACCATTGTTAATTGACAATACGTCGTCGATATAACTAAATGTCAAGTTGAAAGCCACAACAAGTGTTTTCTTCTTTTCACGTACAAGATTGTGTATCATAGGGAATTAAAAAAAAAACAACCAAAAGCGGATTTTCCGACCCATCAGCTTTGATTAAATAGGTAGAACAGTAATTACATGTAATTGAAAATATTCTAGAAAAAACTACCATGTTTTATCTTAAGGTCAAAAATAAACATTTAGCATGTCTTGTTCGGCTAAAATGTCAACAAATCTCTTTATTTACAAAATACGGTAATATAATAAATTGTGAAAAATTACATGCTCTCCGTTCTGTCTGACTTTACAAAAATTTAGGAAAATAAAAACTTCCCAACCAGAAATCCGCTAAAGACAAAGACACTGATTTTCCTTAGCTCATTAATAGTAAAGGTTTTCTCCCATTTAGTCCTCCGTTCCTCTGATAGTAACTGGATGGTAAATAATACATGTAACAGATCTGGAAGAAGAAACCCCAAGTCTCTGAATCTCTGAAATGCATTGTCTTGCCACAAAATTAACTGTGCAAAAAACTGATCTACCCCTCCCAGCAAAATATGAATTAAACTGATCGAAATAATTATAAAAGAACGTATCGAATCTGTATCCAAGGTTTTAGAACAAAGTTGAAATACAGTCCACGTAGAAAATAACTCCGTCACTGTGAAAAACATTTGATGATAAAATTGACTATAGTACCCGTCATTTGTATAATTGAAGAACATCCAGTATGAATAGTAGTTGGGATAAACATCTAGTATAAACAAGAAAAACATCCTCCATCTTAACAGCCTATGATTATACAAATCATATAGATGTTTGAATGATTCATAGGAGACAATAATCACTCCAAGCGTCATTACCCAAATGACCAGCATTTCGTAAGTAGCATTGAAATATATATGTTTGTAGGTTGTTTTTCCAACTCTTTCGTACGAACCTGTAAGAAAAGAATTTTTAAAAAGCATAATTTCACGTATAAGTATGTTACGAATTCGGCATTCTCCACTATGGTTATGTACAAGCAAACACATGATAAGTTACTTCTAGTGGAATGAGTCATTAAAATAATGAGTGGATGAATGATTGGATGAAGAATATATACTTATGTTTCATTTTCATTTAGTAATTGTTATCATTAATTAAAGCCAGGATCTTAATAAGAAAATGTCGTATAGTGTACATCTCATTCCGAATTTCCTCCACGTGACTAGGGAAATCCAACACACAATGTAAATACACCATTAATGATTCAATAACTACATTATTATAAAGCTGAATATGCTTACCTATAGTAATTTGGATGAATAATAAGTCAAGTGACTGACAATTTGGGTAAAACCTTACAATTACACATCAGTTTTCATATTAAAGCTGAACACGACTCGTAAATAGGCATACGCCATTTTCGATATTATATCTACGATACATCAACACCAGGGTAAACTCTTCGCATTCGTTACACCTGGCTGCTTTATTGTCACGGGTATCGGCGTGGAATGGCGACCCGTGTTCGTGCTGGTTATCTTGCATTACCTTTGTTTACATTTTATTGTAGTTACGTGTATCTGTGTTTGTTTGTATACTGCACTGACCTGTACAACTATAATTGTAAGTTTCTTTTGTATCTACTTTCCTGCATTAGACGAGGTATTACAGTTACTTTTGTCGCTACCGAGTGCTGTATAGCATACATCCGTCTACACCGGCGTCGACTGATTATACTGAACAGTGTCCAAGTCAGGCCCTTTATATAGGGGTCCTCAGATATAGCGAGAATCCGAACAAAAATGGCGAACACATTGCTTTTACGAATCATGTTCAGCTTTAAGCGGTAAAAGCTGTAAAGTACGTTCGGAACACCTCGGATGAGTACAGTAAACTAACTGCACCCGAAGTCTTCCAGTGATTTGAAGTTATGGCGCCAAATCGTCATACATGGGACGTCATAGAGGGTCTAACTGGTATAAATACGAGCTCCGCGGGCTCTGACAGACAGACGTCTGCAGTCTCACCTACAGTAAGGTTCTGCCACTGTAACAACAATGACGCTCGCATAGCATGGTTCAGAAGAATTTAGATGGGTAATTATTATTAACCTAATCTAACACTGAATATTTGTTAGCAACTTTTGATTGCTTTATTTGTTCATGCATTTTACAAGTTTCTTTCAGACACAAGTAGTGATCAAAATTCACCGTTGTTGGTTACTATTTACTCAGGCACAAGAAGTGACCTGAAATTGATATTATAACCCCTGACATTATTATTAACAAATGAATGGTGCATTGTATTGAATTTTACTGAGAAATTAGCATAACATTTTGTCCCTATACAAATAGTTGTTTGCTATAACCTCTGGTATTTCATATTTCTACTCAGTAGTGAAGAAATCACTGATTCAATCTTTTAACTAAGACCTAAAGGTATTAGGTCTATTCATGTTTACTATAGGGTTTGTTTAAGGGTGGTTTAAGAATTAACATTTGGTGGAAAGGGTGGTTGGTTTGTTTTTATTTCAGGTGCAGACTGCAGAACCAAAGAAGAGGTTTGTGTACATTTATTTGAATATAATCTAATAAAATAATAAAAACAATTTATATCCTGTTGTCTTTCGTTCAATATTCAGATTAAGGAGCCCCACAATGTTACGCTGCTAAACATAGACAGCCGTAAGTCGTAACAAGTACATATATTAATTTGGAGTATTGTATCAATGTACTTGTTCAATATCATTTATTCAATTTTCAGAAATAATATCTTTCAAGCTACAGACCACATCGTGCATCCAGAAATCTTATTAATTAGATTCCTGATCAAAATGCACACTCGGAGAAGAAGAAATTCACGAAGTTGTAAAATCATTTTACGAGTTTTTACCTACAATATCTGCCTTGAGAATACTTTACATGTCAAATTTCGTGGGTGCACAGATTTTTCTTTAAATTTTTCTTCAATTTTAAGATTTTAAAGAAAGGAACACCAACCTTTGAAAACTGTATCGAAGCAGTCACAGTGACATCGAGTCCTATTGACTTTCGGTTTCTCGGGGACCCATATGATGTTGTTGACAATGCCTATAGATAATTGCATTATAATACGACAATAACTACATCCGTGCATGATGGGCAGCAGAACTGCTGTAAGTCAGGATAGAAAGAAAAAACATTATTTTACTCGATCATTTATGAAACATATAAGCACCTATATGTATACAAGGAATGATAGTTACAACAGCTGCAGCAATGAGTCTGTCACATAGGTTTCTCTTCTTTAGAATGAAAGATTCTCCAAGCGTGGATGTCGTCATGTCCATAATTAAATCACCTTCACAACATTCATTTCTCCGTCTTAAGAAAATAGTTGTTTCCTAATAAAAATAGATATACGGATTATATGGCTACAAATCAAATATTCAGTTTTCCCCTAAGTGGCACACATATATAAATAAAATAATTTACCATTGATAATTTGGTGTCAAATACAATCCATGCCTTTTAAAATTTCAATCAAAGCCTGAACTTAATGACTGTTAAGCCGTGATTATGCAGTAAAGGTTGTTGAGTGTACGTGCCAAAAAATTGTTTTTAAATACTCTGTTTAATTCTTCGTCAATAATTTTAAAGAACTATGATACATTGAAAAAAAGTTACAGATTTCATTTTGCATAGCAATTGACGGTATTTGTCAAAAATTAAAATGAAGGACATACATGTCTTCGATTATAAACTTTTTTATATAGTCACATGGAATAAAGTTCAATCCGTTCTCGTGTTTGAAAATCTCATATAGGTTGAGTTTGTGCTCTGAGGTGAAAAGTATCTCAAATTTGACAAAATTCCATCAGAATTGAAGAAATTCGGTAAAATGTCCTACCTTGTCAGCCTCTTGTAGCCTCTGTGTAGGTTCAGAATCAAAATTAGTGTTTGTTATTTTTAGCAAACATCATTTAAAGTTCCTGATTATCGGGATTTTAATTGTGATTTTTATATCATTTAAGGGGCCTACGTCGGTCGTTTATGGCAAGTTCTTTTACTATTTATTAAAGAAAACAGATATCTCTTTAAAAAATAGAAATATCTCCTTTTGCTTAAGAGATATCTCTTTAACTTAGAGAGTTATTTCTTTAACTTGGCGAGAGATCTTGCAAAGTAAAAGAGATATCGATGTCTCTCTGAGTGAGAGAGACATTTTTCTTATTGAAAGAGACATCTCTATAATGTTAAGAGTAATCTCTCTTATGGAAATAGATATCTTCTCAAAGAGAAAGAAATATCTCTCTAAGTGAAAGAGACACCTCTCTAAGTAAAAGATTTTTTATGCAAATTTCATTATGATGTTGAAGATTATATAAAATGGGTTGTCTGAAGTGTAGTACATACAACTTTTGTATATCAAGCTGGTTATCAGTGTTCTAAAGACAAGTACCAGATGGCCTCTATTTACACAACAGATACATAAATAATGCAATACCATTTTATATCTTACAGGCTTATGTATAATATCAATTACAAATTTACTCACTATAAAATTCATGAAGTTCAAGTCCCACTTAGGATGAATGTCCAAGGGTTAGCATTGTATTGAAATCGTACAATTTCTAAATCTTTTTTTATCTTGCAGATCAAGAATTTGATACCATGCATGCATAATTTTTTTTCATTATTTATATTTTTCTCATACTAAACAAAGTGATTGTAAATATATGAGATACTCACATGCGGTACGCTCACTAACTCACACCATCCACATCCAATATTCACACTTCTTATGTAGTCAAAAATACCTGTTATAAATACAGTTTGTCACTTTTTCCTCTTTAACCTTATACATATATTTTCCAAATTATTAAATATACATATTCTTTTAAGGACAATTTAAGGATAAACAAAAAAGAAGAGAGAAAAAATAAAAATAAAATAATTTGAACTGTCAGTCATCAAAAACAGGTTTCCATGAAGACCATATGGAATTAAAATTAAAATTTTTTATTCTTTTGGATTGATACAAATTTTTCAACATTGAACTTTGAAAGCAACATGTATTTCAAAATTACACTACCCATAGATATCCAAAATGGAAATCCATTTTGATGCAGAATGATTACCAACCTTCTACAATTTGAAATTCACATTTTGTAATTTTGTTTTCTGTTGACATGGGAAATCTAATTTGTGTAATAAACATGAGCAAGAAAAACTCATATTCCGTATTTTAAAAACCAAAAAGTTTTCTACCAAAAGAATGATAAACACTTTCTCCTGTAATAAAGGTACAGGCTTTGGGAATGGTAATGAAGATGTAATGAGAGTCATTTTTTTTTTAGTCTTCTTCACTCCAAGACATTTAGAGGAGTAGGAATTGAATTTGTATATTACAAACCTTCCCCACAAAGTTTTATGGGATATCGAGATACAATGTATCAATGTCTGTCCGACCTCCAGTTCAAATTATGTTCTTGATACACTAGGTAATTTGAAAGGTACATATATTGGAAGCTAATACTATACACAGAGGCAATGTATTACGAAGGGGTATGTAAAGATCCAAAAGTTTACAGCCACCGGAAATACACCGATTTTACAACTCTTCCATGAGCAATGTTCAATGATATGGATCTGAAAAATGAAAGGTTGCCTTTGATATGAAAATGTGTATGTTTTGAGATCATTTTGCTTTTTCGATCAGGCAGAAAAGGCGTGAAGTAAATGAATGTCCAATATCTATAGCAAAACACGGATTATTACTTACGTCTTACTTCATCACTGAGATTCAAATAAAGATAAAAGAAAGATTTTTTAAAGGTGACATAATATAAATAGAATAATCAGTCTCATAGGATAACGTCGAATTTAAGATGACAATTAAATGACATCCATATTAAACTAAATTAGTAGTGCTGAGTACAGGTCTAAATTTGCAAGTGGTGGCATCTAAATTTGAGTGAAAATTTCTCGAAGGGACGTTAACCAAGCAAACAAACAAACTTCATTTGAAACAAGACACAATCCCCACATATGTAACAATATTGCTCGTCTTTTAAAATCGATTACATGTACATGTATAAGGAATACTTACTCTGAATGAGTAGATCCTAGATCCTCGAAACTTGCAGATGAAGCATTTTATATTAAAAGTACTATTCTCTCTTTTTTTTAACTTTAGGTATAATGCAGAATAAGAGAGAGAGAGAGAGAGAAAGAGAGAGAGAGAGAGAGATTTGGTGTGTTTTTGTTTTTTGTTTTTTTTTTTTTACAATTTACATCCGATAAAAGATGATAAAATGAAATATGCACGGTTCCTGCTGAACGATTACGCAAGATTAAATATGCAAACGATCACACCCGATTCACGCAAGATCTGTCTGATTACATGAACGATCACGCACGTTACACGAATGATTCTGCACGATCGTCAATAATATCGTTGCAGCATATGTATAACTAGAATATTTTTAAGGTACAATCTTTTATATTTACTTTACTGATAGCAAAATGGTTGATAGCGTTTCTTGAAGGTCAGTCTATTGATATGGCTATTACATGACCTATTTATTATTTCTTTGGTGATATAATCTAAAGTACATTTTCAATAGAGGACACGTCAATGTCTAATGTTCAAGATTATTGATAAAAACCAGGGGAAATGTATGATTATTTGAATAAATATTAAAAATTATGCAATTTTATATTATCCGCAGTCTCTCTGTCTTTCTATTTGTCTGTAAACACTTTTTAATGTTGTTACGTACTTCTACAATATTATTCATTCAAGTTGTTACAAAAGGCGACTTCATTGAGACACTAATTTAGAGGAACTGCCATGGACTCTGAAAAAAGAATATATTTTCTGTACTGGTCTTAGATTTCTTCAGAATTCTTATCCTCCTATGGTTTTGTATTCTACAAAAGTTCATACATTGATGAATTTATGTCCATAGGTGTGGTTTGTCCTTATTTTTTTAAAATAGTAATGGCTAAACGTGTCAACATCTTTCTTACATTTCAAGTGACTCATATTTAGATTTCTATTTACTTCTTTAATTTTTAACAATCCGGAAGACGAGCCTCTATGTTTGTAAGCTCGTAAACAGTAGAGCTCCAATCTCATGAGAGCCCTCTGTTCAAGTTATCCATCAAATAATATTTTAAATGTGAGGATATATTTTGATAAGTACCCAACGACCAGTGTGCTTAATGATTTATTAAGACAAAAAGGTAGTCTTTAATTCCAATTTACTAAAATACAATAGGGTGCCGTTTGGTAAATGCCTGGAGGACCAGTTTACACATAGAAATCACGTGGTTCCTCATATGATCATGCGTTAGTCGTAAAACATTGTTCAACTGCAGGATGAGGTGGCTTTTGATTTTCTCTTTCCTCTTTTTAGTTGCAGCAAGTATTTCTGGATTTCAAAGGTAAGAAAAAATAGAATTATTATATTTACATATAATTATGCTGGTGATGCATCATTGGTGATGGAAGAAGTTATCTAACAAAACACGGTCTTTAGGGGCTGTAAAGTAAATGAAAAGCGATGCAAAGAATCTTTCAAAGCACTGTATAAATATTAATTTTAATTAGTCCTTTCGTCAGGTTTTAACAATCAGCAGTTAAGTATTGAAAACTCTTACAAAAATTTAACTGAATTCACAAAGAAATCTGTCATTATCCATGTTATTTTTTCAAAGTTCATTATTGTAATTAATCACATTATGCAGGGAAAATTATCAATTCTCAATATATATTCAGATAACGTGAATGAACGCACCAGTTATACGTTTTCTAATTTAAATTTGATAAACAAGTATTTTTTAGGATGAAAAAATAGAGGTATCCAGGCATTCGGGAAAAACTGCATATTTTTAATACTTATCAGTATTTTAGTCCTTCTTGTAACTTCATTTGTTATATGAATAAATACATAGTGTAAAAGCAAGTGATATAATTACAAGGTATCACTTTAAATTTCATTTTAATATATAATAAGCATTAGTATCTTAGACAAGATTAAAGGAAATTTAAAGGTTTTTTTTAAATGTAAAATTAAAAAAGTACTTTTATTCATGCAAATGTCTTCTCTTTACAAGATTGTTTGTAAGTCTTTAAAGAAACCTAGGAAGATATTTAGATGCATCAAATGAAAATTGCTGCACGAAAACAAAATTAAATTTTAAGCTTCATTTTGAGACTTATTCAATTAAATAATAAATGTAATGTTTATTGTTCCTATCTGAGGGGCAGACATTCTTAACTTGTATTTCTGTTGGCTGACTATTTCAAAAAACCTTCGCTCTATGTATGCACTTC